CTGATTGGAGATTCCCCAACTGGACATTCCCAATTGGAGATTCCCCATTCGAAGATTCCCCGATTGGAGATTCCCTGATTGGAGATTCCCAGTTGGAGATTCCCTGATTGGAGATTCCCGATTGGAGATTCCTCAATTGGAGATTCCCCAATCGGAGATTCCCGATTGGAGATTCCCCAATTGGAGATTCCTCAGTTAGAGATTCCCTGATTGGAGATTCCCCAACTGGAGATTCCCGACTGGAGATTCCCCAACTGGAGATTCCCCGATTGGAGATTCCCCGATTGGAGATTCCCCAGTCGGAGATTCCCTGATCGGAGATTCCCGATTGGAGATTCCCTGATCGGAGATTCCCGATTGGAGATTCCCTGACTGGAGATTCCCCGATTGGAGATTCCCTGACTGGAGATTCCACGATTGGAGATTCCCCCTCCCCCCAGGATGAGGAGAACAGGGGAAAGGGAGTTCTTCCTGTGGGCTCATCCTGTCGAGGGTTGGCTCTGGCTGGGATTCCCACCCCCTTCATCAATGGGTACAAACTGCTGCCAACGTGGGAATGGAGGAGGGAAGGGAATCTCCATTTGGGGAATCTCCATTTGGGGAATCTCTGATCAGGAATCTCCAATTGGGGGATCTCTGACCGGAGAATCTCCATTCGGGGAATCTTCCCTCAAAGATTCTTCTGCAGATGTCCCTGGCTTCTCTGATGAAATACAAGGCAGGTCTGGGCCATGGGCCACCAATTGCACCTAACACCAAAAGCTTACAGTCTTTTTTTCCTGGGGGGAAGGGTTGTTGTTCAGTTTTCTGAGACCTTTGCTGAAATTGCCAGTCTGACTCCCAAAATTGAATACGGACGAAGATTCCTCCCAGACACAAGGTGCCATGGAGTGCCCAGGCTGGCCCACCAACTGCACCTGAAACCCAATGGTTACAGGCTTTCTTTCCTGGGGGAAGGGCTGTTGTTCACTTTTGGGAGCCCTGCACTAAAATTGCCAGTCTGATTTCCAAAACTGAATACAGAAAAACATTCCTCCCAGAGAGAAGTCACCAGAGCAGAAACTCTTGCTGCCCATGGAATGCCCAGAGTGGCCCACCAATTCCACCTGAAATTCAAAGATTACAGCCTTTCTTTCCTGGGGGGAAGGGCTGTTGTTCGCTTTTCAGAGCCCTGCGCTGAAATTGCCAGTCCAACTCTCAAAATCGAATACGGACAAAGATTCCTCCCAGACAAAAGGTGCCAGGACAGAAAGCTCTTGCTGCCCATGGAGCGCCCAAGGTGAGCCACCAACTGCCCCTGACACTCAAAGGTTACAGGCTTTTTTCCTAGGGGAAAGGGCTGTCGTTCGTTTTTTTGGAGCCCTGGGCTGAAATTGCCTGACTCCCAAAATTGAATACGGACAAAGATTCCTCCCAGGCAAAAGACTCTAGGACAGAAAGCTCCAGCTCCCCATGTAGTGCCCAAGGTGGCCCATCACCTGCAACAGAAACCATGAGGGTAAGGGTTCTCTTTCCTGGGGGAAAGTGTAGGGAGGTGTCACAACCTGAGCACCAAAGGTACTGCTGTGACAGCATCCAGAAGACAGGAGAGAACAGATCAAAAAGTCCAATTCCCTGGATCCTCAGACAACCAAACCCTCCCGTGGGGCTGAAATGTTCCCTTTGGTTACGTTTTGTACAACATTGTACAGACAAACTGGAGATTATGAAATTAAACCATAATTCAGTAAAATCTACCACGAGTACGTGTTTCTTTTGGAGGGGGCAGCCCGGCCAGCTCCTGAATGCCAGCCCCTGTCTGCTGCAGTTTTCACACCTTGATTCAAAGAAATCAAACTCAACACCTTCATACTGTTAAGCCCTGTAACGTTGGGAATAACTCTTCCACAAACACTCCACTGAAACAACGATTTCATGAGCTTTTACTCCCTTTAACGTCTCAAACCCCTCCTTGACAGTCAATCATTTTATTCTTACAACATTAATCTTTAGCTAAAGGTAACCTAGACTTCTTTTACTTAAACAATCTTTGTAATAGTTTCATATTTTATTGCTACAACATATCAACATCAATTTTTGGTTGAAGATAACTTAAACTTTTATTTAATCTTTGATTGATTTAGCTCTCCAGAGTGTATCTTCATATTGTTACAGGATTCATCATCTTTGGTTAAAGATTAGACCCCGACTACTTTCACCTAAATAATTTTCTACTGATTTACACCTTTAGAGTGTAACAGTCTCCGAAACTAATCGAAACTCCAGCTGCACAGGTTGCTGACCTCCTTAATTTTTACTCTCTATTTTTTAGCAGGGTTTAGGTAAGGGTTTCAAAGCTACAAAATTTAAGGAATAAACTACAAAATTCTTAAGATTCTTAGGTTACAAGTGGGACCATCATGATCGAGCCTCTCCCAGGCTGTGCAAGGTCACCCCTCGCTGGGGACTCGCTCCAGCAGCTCCATGTCCTCCCCGTGTGGGGGCCCAGAGCTGCAGGTTTTCTCCTTGGCTGGAAAGCACAAAGGGCCAGGACGGATGGGAGGAGCTGAACGTTGGGAATTGGAGCCTGAGGGAGGGTGGGAAGGTCCTGGCACAGCAGGAGGCTCCTGCTGAGAGCTGCAGACTCATCCCTGTGTGGGGATGGGAGCACCAATTCCTGCACACCTTCTGCTCTGGTCACATGGAGTGTTTTATATCCCAGCCCCAGCGCTGAAACCTGGGAGTTTCAGGGATGGGGCTGCCATTCCTGGAAGTGTCCAAGGCCAGGTTGAAGCAGGTTGGAAAGGCTGAGAGAAATGGGATTGTTCAGCCTGGAGAACAGGAGGCCCTGGGGAGACCTAACTGTGCTCTCCCAGCACCTAAAGGGGCTCCAGGAGAGCTGGGAGTGGGGCTGAGCCAGAGCTAGAGCAGGGCTCGGGAATTCCACGGGGACAGGTGGGCACAGGGGAGAGAACACCGGGAATGGATGGGCAGCACAGGGACCAGGGAGGGAGTGCTGGTGTCAGCTTTATACTGTGAGCTTTGATTACAGAAAAGTGGTGATTCCCCTCCCAGGAAGCACTTTCCAAAGTGGAAGCACAGATGTTTGTGGCTGCCCCATTCCTGGGAGTGTCCAAGGGCACCTGGAAGGTGTCCCTGGGGATGCAAGGGGATGGGATTTAAGGTGCCTCCAACACAAACCCTTCTGTTGATTCAAGGAAATCCTTAAACAATATGTAAAGCACACTTCTATTACAGCCAGGGCCAAGCAGGGAGGATTCCACCCCCCAGTGCATGTCCCCTGAGAAAAGAAACACAACTGTTTTATACATTTGGAAGGAGTAAGTTTCAAAAATTATCTATCGTATACATTCTTTCAGAATTGGTACAAAATCTGCCTTATCTAAATAGATATTCGGTTATCCATCCCCTATTTTTATTACTACAGAGTAGTTACACAAAGCTTTATCATTTCAAGCAGCTGTGTTTCCCCCATCCCTCTCCTGTCTCCCTTGCAATGCCACCTGCTAAAAGCCTTTCTTTTCCCGCTTTCTCTGTCAGTCCCTTATCTTATCCGCCCTTTATCTTAACTGCCCACAACTGGGCAGACCCCTACGCACAGGCTGCTACGTTTTGCAAAGTCACATTTCACGCTAAATTTCAGCCAACGTGGCTAAATTTTTATTTTGTTTTGTTCTGGTTTTATTTCACCGTGTCTCTCTGGGGCTGCAGGAGAGGCCGCGGGGACACGGTTGGAACGGCAGGGCCCGCACGGAGCCCGCACGGAGCCGCCGAACGGCCCCGGGGTTACACGGGAGGGTCCCCAAAGCCCCCCCGGCACTGCCTGTGCTCCCCCGCCCCCCGCAGCCGGATGGTCTCTCCCGAGCCCCGGCTGCGATTCCTCCCCCCGCAGGGCCCCCACACTTGGTCTCTCCCACCTCCCCTAGAGCCACAGGTCCCGCCCCCTCATGTCAATCACGCCAGTTCCCGCTGGTGATTGGTAAATCCTCGGGGCCTCTGCCCGAAGCAGCCAATGGCAGCGCTGTCCCCGCCCGCAGCCAAGATGGCGGCGCCCGGTGCGGGCCTGGAGGGCGTCCGCCGGTTCCTCTCCCGTGGGAGCCGCCCGTGCCCGGAGCGGCGTTTTTTTATGCCTCTGGGGCCAGAAGCGGTGGGCTTTTTGCTTCTGGATCGACCCCAGGCTCTGCCCGGGGCTCTTCAGCTCTCGAGCGCTGCCCTGAGCCCTGGGAGAAGCCTCGGGCCCCGGCCGGTCCGTGAGGGCGGGGAGCAGGACGGGCCCGAGGGAGCCCGAGCGCGGCGGGTAAATAACAATAAAGTGAAGGAGAAGCCGACAAAAGGAGGTGATTTGTGCGTGGGGGCGGCAGGGAGAGATCTTCCTCACTGGCTTTGTTGCAGTTAGGAGGGGGTTAAGCAACCCAAAAAATGAAACAGCAGCTCCTGTTCCTAAACTGCAGAGGCCCTTCAGTATTCCTGAAATGTCACCCAGGCACTGTGTGCATTGGAGGGGTGGCTTTACCTTCTTCCCCCCGGCCCCGGCCCCGTAGTTTTTGCCCAGGTCCATGTCCTCAGCTCTTGTTTCCCTCATATCTTCCAGCAAAAAAATCTCATCTCTCTGGTCCCAAATGATCCCTCTCTGGATGCCGGCACAGATGAGAGGGAGGAATCAAGGGTGCCCAGAGAAGCTGTGGCTGCTCCATCCCTGGAAGATTCCAAGGCCAAGTTGGAGCAGGTTGGAAAGGCTGAGAGAATAAGGATTTTTCAGCCTGGAGAAGAGAAGGCTCCAGAGAGACCTGACTGTGCTCTTCCAGTGCCTAAAGGGGCTCCAGGAGAGCTGGAGAGGACTTAGGACAAGGGATGGAGTGACAGGACAAGGGATGGAGTGACAGGACAAGGGGGAATGGTTTCCCACTGCCAGAGAACAGGATGGGATTTTGGGAAGGAATTCTTGGCTGGGAGGGTGGGGAGGGGATGGGATGGAATTCCCAGAGAAGCTGTGGCTGCCCCATCCCTGGAAGTGTCCAAGGCCAGGTTGGAGCAACCTGGTCTAGTGGAAGGTATCCCTGCCCATGGCAGGGAGTGAGACTGGATGAGCTTTCAATCCCTCCCAACCCAAACCATTTTGGGATCCTGTGACTCTCTGGTAACTGGGGAGCTGGAATAGATCTGGCTGCTCTTCCCTCCAGACACTGTAACACCAAAGGATGTCCTACAGGTCTCCTGACCTATGGCTTCCTCTCACCGCCGGGGTGTGGCACTGCTGCAGCCCAACCTCTGCTGGCACTTCTGAGTCCCTCAGAACCACTCCCCAAAATTCGCATCCCACAAGGGAGCAACAGTGCCAGATTAGTGGAGTTTGTCTCTAAAATCAGGTTGTGAGCACCAAGGACAGCAATGCTCCTGAGCTGGGAGAGAGGGATGAGCTCTGCTCCCCGTGCTGGAGGACAGAGGGTGTGTTGGTGTTGTGCTCAGCTGTGCCTCTGCCAGCACTTGGATTTTTCCCCCCTCTTTTCCCAGGAAGGGCTGGGCCTGGGTGATTTTGATGTGAGCATCACTGCTGAGGGGAGCAGCTGTGCCAGCTTGGGATGAACAGCCTGGAGAGCAGGTTTCAGCAGCATAAGAGCAAAATCCCCTCTTGGCCTCTGAGTATGTGATGATGGATCCTGCTGGGGCAGAAGCAGGTCCTCACACAGGAGCCTCCTTGGCAGGAAGTGGGTTGGTGTATTTGCCTGATTTGCAGCAAAAAAACACCAGTAAAACTAATTCTTTTGTTTGGACTCACAACACCTGTGATCTTTGGTGACTTGGAGAGTGAGATCAGATCTGCCCATAAATCATCAGCAGTTTCCCAAGCTGTTTTCTGAGGGCTGATCTCAGCCCTAGGGACTCTCTGGGCCTTCCTTCCCTGTTGATTTTCCCTTCTTAGGCCCTGCTTAGTGGGGCTTTTCTCCACCCAGCACAGAGACCAAGGTTCTGAGAAGCAGAACACTCCTGCTTCCTTGTCCTCTGCAGGTTCCTGGCCTGCCACGTGCTGGGAATGTCCGTGTCCGTGTGTTTGCCCTGCACGTGTCCCAGTCCTTTCCCTCCAGGACAGAGCTGTTCAGGCCGTGGGCTTCAGCTTTTGGTGGAACCCCTCTAGAAGGAGATGGTGCTGCAGCCCTGCCTGTGTGCTCCTGAAAGGTTAAGGGTGTTGGGATGCTGGTCTGGCTCTGCTGGGACAGGACATGGTGTGGGATTTGTGCTGGTGTCCTTGGGGAACCTCCACCACGGAGAGCTCCGATGCATCTGCAGTGTGTCCCTGGCACGGGTTTGTTGGTGGGAGTCCTGAACAGCCCCTGAGGTTGAATTCAGGGTCCTTTTCCCTTTGGGAAGGATAACTCCCCTCTGGCTGCAGGAATTCACATCCCATGCTCCTGGCAGGGCAAGGTGGTGATGGATTGACCCCGGGCAGCCAAGTTTCCCACCCCTGTCCTGGATTCAGGTGCTGCAGGAGGGGACTCGGTTCCCTCTGGAGCTGGCAGAGCTCAGCAGGGAGCGGCAGCCTTTGGAGCAGCCTCTGTCCTCCCTCCTCCCTGCCCCTGTCCCATCCCTCCATCTCCAGGGGGTGGAGCTGCAGGACTGCAGAGCTCCCCAGAGGCAGCGGAGCGAGGGTTTGTCAGTGCAGGAGGCTCTGCAATTCCAGCTCCTTCAGAGGCTGGAGACACTTTGGAGCCCCCATGAGCCCTGTTTAAGAGCTGCTGTT